GATTAACATCAACGTGCGGTACGAGTAGGCAACAAATTATCACACGTTGCATTGCATACCTATGAAACAAACCATGGATTCATCTTTGCTGCCGTCAAGGTACTCGCCCACGTTGGAAATAAGAGTAGTCGGGAATTGATCAAAACCTGGTCCACGGACCAAAATTCTAGCAATCGACGCGTCGAGTTGGCACCGGCGTGCAGGGCCTTGAGCAGTCACGCGCAGTCAGGCCCAGACGACTGGTATAGTTAATTGGCCCACATGCTCTATAATTAGCCCCATTTTCGCTGCTGACGCCCTGACAAACGTTGACACCACTGACAACTAATCAACTTGTACCCCTAAAGTTGCCTCCTTTCCCCTCCTTTTTTCATTATTTTGTCTTATACCTTACGACTGGATGTCCTCTGACAGCTGACTGGTGTACATCCACTATAATTGCCTCCTTTTTGTTGCTGTTTCTTATCTCTTAGGATGGACTCCTGTAAGAGTTCGAAAACTCAGGACAATAAACAAATTGATCCAGTTCTCGACAACCCTGCTTCCTCATCAAATTTCCTCATTGTTTATATTCGAATAAACAAAGAGGGGACAAATATCCGTCTATATTGGGCGCAATAGGCGAACTGCTATAAAGATATGTGTAAGAAACTGACAATTCAGTGGTGAGCAGAGCAAATGTTGACTCGATTTAAAAAAAGCCCGCCGTTGCAGTGTTATAAATGATTTCTTACCAAAACGTACACGTTATGTTGCAAACCTGCACACATTTATGTTATCCAGATGTTGACCACAATAAAGTTGTTCGACCACTTTAGATACCCCTAGCCACCCACCCTGTCGTTACTTTCAGTTTTATTAGTCTTTATTATTAAGTTTACTGGTTTAAGTGTAGAAGAATATTCGGCGAGCGTACGCATACTTTCGATAAATTCTCGTCCGGACAATAAATTTGAATAAGAAGGGGGTATAAGTTAGACAAGCGGTCAACAGTGTTCGTCTCTTCTTACAAGCAGCGAAAGCAGACGCCTCAACCAAGCCCTAGCACAAACCTTCCCAGCAGTGAAACTTCGGGTGTTATTCTCAACCAACCCGGTACCACACGGCGGAGGTAAGGATACTCTGCCAGCTCAGACCACTTCTAT